AGTCTGAGGTGAGGATGTCTTGAGGTGAGGTAGCAGGTTTAGTAGTAAGGAAAAGCTGGAGGGAGATGAGGTTGTAGACAGAGTAAGATGTTGGGAGTTGAAGATTTAGAGGTGGAATGGTTTCAGGGCATGGCAGGGTCCAGGACTGAGTTGTTGAAGTGGAGATGGAGGTCTTTGCATTTGATGAGATTATGAAACTCTAAGGCAGAAATGTTGGATGGATTATGCAGGTGGGTGTTGAAATTGCTCAGGAAGGTGGTAGGCTTTGAACTGAGGAAAACATAAGGCAGGTGTCTAAGTCATTAATAAACACTGAGAGATAGGCACAGCCCTTTCCTATGGTGAAAGAATTGAATGGATAAGAATCAGTGCAGTTCTGGGAATCAGTAATGACTTAGTCCCTAGGGAAGCAGCATGGTACAGTAGAGAGAGCATGTGTTCAAGATATCTGGGTTCAGACTTTGGGTAACCCACCTGACTTTTCAAACCTTATACCTTTCTCTACTTGTAAACTGGGAATAATAAGCCTGCTCTAGGGGTTTTGTTGTTATTGAATAAGATAGTGTTTTTGAAAGTGCTTACTTAATATTAACTTGTTAGTTTTTATTCTTGATTGCTGTCATCACTTCAAGAGGGCATGAAAGTGTGGAAGTAGGGATGAGAGGCAAAGATAGCAGCAGAAGTGAATTTTGAACAAGGTACATGACTTCATTTATTCCACTTGTTGAGTTTGTACTGTAGGGTCAGCATAAACATTTATGAATGAATACAGGTAAAAGCAAGTATTGATATAAGGAAGAATTTTGTAAAAGAAAAAAAAAGGCACTGGCTGGCTTATGATAACATTGCAGTGTTGACCTACAACACATTTTTATGGAAAGAAATGCTTTATCTGTTCCTTTTCCATGAAAATTCCATCATTCCTGGGAGTAGATTTTATTGTTCTAGAGAAGAGATCAAGGACCATTATGTGAGAGAGAGAGGGGGCTGGTGATTTAGTTTAAAAAAGCATTTTCTAACAATTAGAACTGTCCAACAATAAAATGGACATTGTGGCAAAGAAATGAGTCTCCATCAGAGCTTGTATTCATGTGGAGACTGGATGATTTATCTGTCAGAGATGTAATAGAAGGATTCTTGCATTGGGGCAGACGTTGGTTTAAATAATCGCTAAAGTCCCACCAATTGGAAGGTTGGAGGATTTTGACTCCAGTTTAGATTTGTCTAAACACCATTCAATCAACAAATATTTGAGTACCTCTTCTGTTTCATTTGAAAGTTTGAAAGCCAGTGTTTTCTTTTTTTTCCTTCCTGTGTGCTGAGAGTCAAGGACTATGAGTCTTAGTTATTGCCTTGGATATTCCCATTTGGAATTTAAGAAGCTCCAGCCAGGTGTTGGTGGTGATGTAACAAAAGCTGCAGTCCTCACCTGTTGGGTGGGGTTAGGGTGGAGTCTATGGCATGCACCTGGAGACATCAAATATAAGAATGGGCTGCCAAGAAGTTTGGTTTAGTGCTTCGAATTTTTGAGCAAGTCATTCTAGATAATGTTGGACCTTGAAATTATTTATTTATTTATTTTTCAGATGACTTACTCAGAATTAATTCTTTTTTTTTTTTTTGGAAATTATTTTTAAAAAATTTTTTTTTAACTTTTTTTTTTTTTCTTCTGTACGCGGGCCTCTCACTGCTGTGGCCTCTCCTGCTGTGGAGCACAGGCTCCGGACGCGCAGGCTCAGTGGCCATGGCTCAGGGGCCCAGCCGCTCCGCGGCATGTGGGATCCTCCCGGACCGGGGCACGAACCCGTGTCCCCTGCATCGGTAGGCGGACTCTCAACCACTGCGCCACCAGGGAAGCCCTAAAAATATTTTTTTAAAAGAATATCCTACTACATTGACATATGAGGTCTACGATGCCATGACATCGATGGTTTTCATTGGCTTCTCTCACTCAAAAGCCTCTGGCTGGCTGGGAAATTGCCTATAAGCCTGTGGCTTAATCAACTCCTCTCTTCTGCTGAGTACTTTTTGTTGATTGTTATTTGTGTACTTACTGTATATTTCCCACATCCTTTCAGTAAGTTATTAGAGTGGCTTTACCAAGTTCCTTTGCATGTTTTTTTAAGAGAGAAGGTTGAAATTCATTTTGCAGCTGTGCTCTTGGTTTTAGATTATTCATGTGTTTAAGTTATTTGGGCTGCTACCATGCCCTGTGACCTAAGACAGTGACTAAAATGGTCTTGAAGAAGGAATTCTTGTCTGTATTAGAGGAAAGGGAAACCACTCATTCATCTGTGAATTTTGAAGGAATTTAATTCTTAAGTATTTTATCTGAGGAACTAAGTTGTTTAAAAACAACAACATTTTGAATTTGAGGTATCTTAGGCCAAAAGTTCTTTATGTAATGGTAGTCTTTTCTGACAGTTGTGATATTAAAATGGAAGTAAATTAGACATTGATAATATGCAGACCAAAAGAGAATGTAAGGATCATAGTTTCTGAGGCTGTAGTGAACTAAAGAAGTTCATTTTTTAAACCTGGGAAGAATCTTAGAAGTCATTGAATCCAAGTCTAGGATATACAAGAAGCAACTGACACCCTGTAAGTAATTTGACCAAAGTCACCCAGCTAATATATATAAGTGTAGGTAGAACTCTTCTGATACGAGGGTGGTGGAAGTGACAGTATGTTGATGTCTCTTTAGAAAGGAGAGTTTGTAAAACTTTGAGAGATGGATTGGGACTGGGACAGACCATTAGAAATAGTGGGGTGATGTGAAAGATGAAGTACCCTTGAATTTCTCTTCTTTTTATGTTTTTTTAAAAATTTATTTTTGTTTTTATTTATTTATTTTGGGCTGTGTTGGGTCTTCATTGCTGGGTGCGGGCTCTGTCTAGTTGTGGTGAGCAGGGGCTACTCCTCGTTGTGGTGCGCGGGCTTCTCATGGCGGTGGCTTCTCTTGTTGTGGAGCACGGGCTTTAGGTGCGCATGCTTCAGTAGTTGCAGCTTGCAGGCTCAGTAGTTGTGGCTCGCGGGCTCTAGAGTGAAGGCTCAGTAGTTGTGGTGCACAGGCTTAGTTGCTCGGCGGCACGTGGGAACTTCCCGGACCAGGGATTGAACCCATGTACCCTGCATTGGCAGGCGCATTCTTAACCACAGCGCCACCAGGGAAGTCCCACCCTCACATTTCTGATCTTCTGAGTTAAGCCTCAAATTGATTGGTTTGGTGGTGGCTGATGTGGAGGTTCAGTTAGTCACTTAATCATTTATTCATCAGGCGTTTATTGACTGTCGACAGTAATGTAGATGCTGTGCTAGATGTTGCGGCACAAATAGGAATTAAACTTGTCCCTCTGCTCCTGGACCTCTTGTACTCATGGAACAGTACAAGTATATTTTGCCATCTCTCTCCAAAAAAAAAAAAAAAATTTTTACATGAAGTTATTAAGTTAGTGGCCTACCGGTTTTATAACCCACAAATCACTGCTTTTTATTTGCCTTACTATTTCTAAGGAATTTAGATAATTAGGATCTGATCACACCACTAAAGAATCTGTGTCTTGGGGTCAGGGGAGGTATGATGAAAAAGTACCTGAGAATTACCCTTAGAGTTTAGGTTGTTTAGAAGGAGATGCTTCTGAAGAGATAGTCACCGGAGCCACTCTGTTGCCTTTGAGAACTCTACTTTTGGCATTCTGCCAAAGCAGGGGACTGGTGGGTTTGGTGGGGCAGGTATGTGCCTGGTGACTTTACCAACAAGTCCTCTTTTACAGAGAACTGTAAACCTGTCTGAAGTGGCAGATTTTGGTGAGAAGTTGTTTTTCACTCGGTTATTGCTCCCTCCGCTGGGACTGCTAACTTCAGAGGAATGTGGATTGGTGCCAGGCCGACAGGTCAGGGACATAGTTTCTGCCAAAGTCAAGTCTGAAAGAAGCGATCTTTTTCAGGTGAACTTACTTGGTGGTCATTTGTCCTGAGTGGAGAAAGGCATGTTTCCTGGGTTCATGAAGTTAGTGGACAAAGATTGACCTTTGTTATGAACCTTTGGGATCTCTACTCTGCTTTGCATAATCGCAGATTGTTTTATTTTGAGTATTCTTATTTTTAAAAATTTTTTTGGCCGCGCTGCTCGGCTTGTGGGATCTCAGTTCCCCGACCAGGCATCGAACCCATGCCCCCTGCAGTGGAAGCACAGCGTCCTAACCATTGGACCGCCAGGGAAGTCCCTATTTTGATTAAGTTTAGATATCAGTTTGCTCCTCCCATTTCCTCAGCTAGCATCAGAGTACTAGTCAACTCTGAAGTTATTCAGTGTATAGTATTCATTCATTCAGTAAAATGTTTGCCGAGAGCCGTTTGCCAAGCACTGTGCCAAGGGATACATGCTGGGGATACATTAGTGGACAAAACACACAAGCTCTGTACTTTCAGGAAACTTTTATGTTGGAGGAGGAGGCTAGACAGCAACCAACTAAAATAATTTTAGGGTATATCAAGTGCCAAGAAGGAAATAAACAGGTGCTATGTAAGAGAATAATGCAGGTGGGGAATTCTTCAGGGTGGTAGTTTGCTGCTTCCTTCCATTAGTTTGGATAAGCAAACTGATGGCTAGAAATGTAATACTCTAGAAAGGCAGAGGAAGAGCATTATTTGGAGTGGTATTATGGTTTTGTGGTTTATGTAGTAGTTAAGAAATTAATATAGGTGAAGTGGGTGAACTGTATGTAATGGATGGTAACTAGACTTGTGATGGTGATGACTATAGTGTTTATAGATGTTGAACTGTAATGCTAGACACCTGAAACTTACATAATAAAAGGAAAAAAAACTAATGTTAATGAGAAATTAGGAAACTAAATGTTACTCTTTATAATAAATTCTACTGAAATGAATGAGCTAGGATAGTTAGTTTCCCCATTTGGTTAGGAAGCTGCTGAAATTGGGCTATGATCATCCCGTTCCAGTGTAATTTGGGCCTTATGTGTTTATTTCCTCCTCAGGTGGAGGCCTGAATTTTGATCTATGTCCTCCCTACATCAGCTGCCTGAAAGTACTTAATGATCACATGACCCTGGACATGGATGCTGTCCTGTCAGATTTTGTCCGTTCCACAGGAGCAGAGCCAGGGTTGGCCCGAGATCTCCTGGAAGGTAAGGAGTCTTTGGGGGAGAATGAGAAGAGAGAAAATAAGATGTGATATTTATTGTTAGGATGATTTGGAACATTTAAGGTGAACAGAAAGACACTTTGTGTATGGCAGGCCTTACATTTAAGTTACTTCTAATAATCTACTTTGTGTATTACCCACCATAATTTTAAAATGCAAAATTCCCTTTTCACCTTGAATTTTTGGGTAGCTTTCTCCACTGTCAATTTAAGCTCAGGTAATGCAAGTGAAATTTGATATTAGTCCACTAAAACCATAATTTTAGATCTGTAAGACTTCCTTTTTATGTATAAATGATTAGATTTTCATATTTGGGATCATTCATGTTTTTTGTCTTTCCTTCCCTAACTTGTATGGGTCATTCTATATAGAGTGGATTAATTTAATGTTTTCATTTAGCTGCTTTTGTTTACTTATATCTGTATGTATACGTAAGTGTGAATGTTCTAGATTTTAAGGTCCTTTAGGTTTGGCCTCATGTCAGTAGGATTCTTTGTTTGGAGTCATAGTTAACGGATGCTTTTTGGTGAAAATATATAATGATGCAAATAGGTGAGCCTGTGGGGGAAGGAGCAAGTTCTTAGCACACATAGGTAATTTTCTAGGTTGTCAGCCCTTAGTAAGGTGTGGCAATATGACATTTACTTAGGCACCTGTGAGAATAATGTTGGTTTGGAAACGGAAGATCAGGGTTTAAATTCTAGTTTGATAATTCAGTATGGCTTTGCCCTTAACTTGTATTTTCAGTTTCATCTCCCACTACCTTCTCCCACAGTTCCTGTGCTCCAGCCAGGCCTGACCTGTTTCCTTTCCCTGATCATATTAAGTTGTCTCCTAAGTCTGCAGTGTCCTTTCCTCCGTTATTCTCTTGAAATTTTCCTCATCCTTCCGGATTCAGCTCAAATGCCTTCTCTTCCTCTTGTAACATGTGTTGAACACTTCTATGTGTTCAATATGTGTGAGGCACTTGAAATATATTACTTTATTCTCACAACCATTCTGCAAAATAGGTTTTATTATCCCAGTATTACAGCTTAAAAACTGAGGTCCAAGAAGTTAAGTAGGATTTGAACCTAGGCCATCTGGTTTCAGAGTCTGGCTTTTAACAAGTGTGTTACAAGTTAATGCTTGCATGTCGTCTCTCTTTCTCTCACACACACCCGTGTGCACACACACTCATACTATGAAAGAAAAGTTGAGGGTGCTGTGGAAGTTTAAGAGAGAAACCTAATTTGGATATAGAGTTCAGAAAGGCTTTTTCTGAAGAAGTGACATGTGAACTGAACACAGAAGGATGCACAGGAGTAGCAAGACAAAGGGATGTAGCACAGAGTGTTTATGTAAAAAAAAGTAGCTTATACAAGGACCCTGAGGTGGGAGAGAGTTTGGCACTGATAGTGAGCGAGGTAGGAAGAGTAGTACAAGAAAGAGTGGTAGGAAGCTGGTTAGATAAGCAGGAAGCAGAATATGGGGGGCCTTTGTAGGCCATGGTAAGGGTTGTGCATTTCAGTGTATGTTCGGTGGGAAGCTGGTGAAGGATTTTAATCAGGGGAGTGAAATGATTGGGTTTGAGTTTCTGAACAGTGTACTGATAAAAGATATGGAACCGACTGGAAGGTGGCCAGAGATGAAGTGGTAAAATCAGTTAAGAATGTTGCCATAGTTCAGGTGAGAGGTGATGGTGACTTGGACTACAGTGGTAACAGCAGAGTGAGAACTGGGTAGATTTAAGGTATAATTTAGAAAGGGAACCAAAGGACCTGATCCTCATTTTCTGTCTCTATCTTTCTGTCTCTTGCTTTTTCCTTTGAAAGTTAACCCTGGTTGTAGTGTAAAGAACAAATTATAGAGGGAGGGGACTAAGAGTAGAGAGACTAGGGAGCCCCCTCCCAAAAGGCCAGGTGAAAATATGAGGACCTGAATTGGGGTAGTGACAATAAAAATGGACAAGAAAGAATAGATTTGAGAAATGTTTCAAGGGTACAAACCACCTTGAGAACTGAGTAGATAGTGAAGGAAGAGGAGGAGTGGGGTCTGAGGAATGGTGAAGAGCTGAAATGACTGTAGTTTCTGGCCTGGAGGGGTTGTGATGCCATTACTGATTTAGGGACTATAGAAGAAGGAGAAGAAGCAAGCTTTAGGAGGGAAGATGATGGACATTCAGTTTTAGACATGTTGACTGTTAGGAGGACCTGATTTTAAGGACTTTAGCAGACAGTTGGAGATAACTATCCAGTGCTCAAGACAAATCATTTATTCATTCATTGGTTCAGAACAAAAGTCCTCCATTCTTTAACAAATATTTATTGAGTACCTATTATGTACTAGGTTCTAGATGCTTGAACAAAACAAAACAAGCAAAAATCTCTGCCCTTACATTCTAGCCTGAGAGATAGTCAATAAACAATAAACATGATAACCAAGTAAGTTGTAAAGTACATAGTATAAGGTGTTAGGTGCTGTGGAAAATGGTAAGGGGAATGATGAGGTAGGTTGTGAGTTTTAGTTGGGTAGTCAGGGTAGGCCTTATTAAGAGTGTGACATTTGAGCAAATATCTGAAGGAGATGAGGAATTGTGTAGATATATTGGAGAAGGAGCCTTCTAGGCAGTGGGAATAGTTGGTGGAAAGGCTGTAGATGGGAGCAGTCTTAGCACATTTCTGGGAACAGCAAAGAGGCCAGTATGACTGATGCAGAGTGCAGAGTGAGCAAAGGGAGTTGGAGCAAGTGGTGAATCTAATGGCTCAGAAATAAATTCATCTGGCATGGATGATTAATACAGCTTAACTGGAGAATTATAATTATAACAAGAAGCATAACAGCAATGGCAGTAAATACATATATAACACTTTCTGTGTGCCAAGCACTGTTTTAAGTGCTTTCAGTTAATTTAATCTTCTTAACAATCCTATGTATTATCACCTCCACTTTCATAGCCAGGGAAGTTGAAGCACAGAGGAAAGGTTAGAAAAGTAAGCAAGGTCATAGAAAGCCTTGAACGTCAGACAAAGGAGGCTAAACTTTATTCTGTAGGTAGTGGTAAGCCACTAAAAATTTGATTATGGAACTGAAATGATCGGAATTGTGCTGTAGAAAGATTAATCTCATGGGATCCTTTAGAGTAGATTGGAGGTGGGACACTAGGTGATATAGGAATTGAATTAAGGTGGTGACAAATGGAATAGAACAGAAAGAAGTGTGAACAATTATGCAATATGTTATTTATTGACTAATTTAACTGGAGAAAGCAACTGAAAAATCTGCTGTGACAAATCTATCCCTTGGGTGTTTATTTCAGCAGAGTAGTGATTCTTAAATTTGAGGGGAATTAACAATTCCCTTTGATAACCTGATGGCAGCTATCAGCTCTTTCTTTAGAAAAACACACATACCTCTAACTTTGTATACAGTTTCAGGTGGTTTAGGACACCCCAGAGCACATCTAGGCTCAGAACTCTCTGGATCTCAGAATTAGGAGACCTGGGCTTGAGTCCAGCTGAGGCCCTGGTGTGAACTACCCGTGACTTTGGGCAAGTAACTCTACTTCTTTAGGCTTCATTTCCTTTATCTGTAAAATGAGGTTACTAGGTCTCCAAGGGCCCTTTCAGTTCAGAGAAACAAATTCTGTATGCACACAGGGCTTTCTTAGGAAATAGACGATAAGTAAATAAAGAAGTTGTGGTATTCCAGATCGAAGTGTTATGAAGGAAATTAAAGTAGGGGAAGGAAAAGGAGAATGACTGAGGTACACATGAGTATATGCTCGCTGGTTTTGATAAGATGCTTAGAATGATGGTTCTGTATCTTTCCTCAATTTTTCTATACTCTCAGCTCCCAATTCACTTTTTGCTTTGTGTCCTGACAGGAAAGAATTGGGATGTGAGCGCCGCCCTCAGTGATTTTGAACAGCTACGTCAGGTCCATGCTGGGAACCTGCCCCCACCCTTTAGTGAGGGGAGTGGTGGCTCCAGGACCCCTGAGAAAGGGTTTTCTGATAGAGAGTCTACTCGCCCTCCCCGACCCACCCTACAGCGGCAAGATGACATCGTTCAAGGTATTGGGGTGCTGAGGGCTGTTTCCATATGCGGAGCAGAAAGAAAGGGAGGCAGCTGCTGACCAGTCACAGAATTTAGTGATCCTTTAGAGATGATTCCATTCCTCCCCCACCGCCCCAACCAAATGATCAGAGGTGACCTCAGCCTGTCCAGATGCTGGAACCCCTCACTTTCTGCATCTTGAGTGCCATCCTGTATAAATGCCATCTTCAAAGGGATAGAGGAAGAAGAATAACGATCTAATTGTTGAGATAAGGTACACATAAAGATAGAATTCAAAGGATCACTATCATCTACCCCTTTGGAGGATATTTTGTTAATATTTATTAGTATCTGTCAAAATTTTTAAATGCACGTATACTCTATCTCAGCAATTTTGTTTCTAGAAATTTATCATATATGTGTTGTGTGTGTGTGTGTCTGTGTGTGGTGTGTATCCTTTTAAATAAATACATACTTACCTAATTCATAAATAGACACAAAGACATGTAGTGTAAAGCTTGAAAACAACTTTTAATTATCCATTAATAGAGGAGTGGTTAAATAAATTGTAATCATCCATATTATGGAATACTTGGCAGCCATTAGAAAGAATTAAGTAGAACTTGATGTGCTATTTTGGAAAAATCTCTAAAATCTATTGAGAAAGGTAAGATGCAGAACAGTATATATAGCATGTTCCTGTTTATGTTTTTAAAAATTGTTATAAAAGTTATTTGTGCTTCTATGTGCATAAAAAATTCTAGGAATTCCCTGGTGGTCCAGTGGTTAGGACTGCGTGCTTCCACTGCAGGGAGGCACGGGTTCAATCGCTGGTTGGGGAATTAAGATCCCACATACCACGCCGCACGGCATGGCAAAAAAATTCTAGAAGGATACAAAACGTCGCCTCTGGGGAAGGGATCAGGAATTTTGAATGAGAGGGACATTTCTTTGTAACACTTCAAACCTTTTGGTAGTATTTTGATTTTTTACTATGGGCATGTGGTACTTTTAAAATACCTTTAAAAAGAGTTTAAAAAATAACACTATAAAATAACTTTAGACTAACTACTTACTTTATGCATCATCCCTGGCAGATATTGGATTAAGACCTGATACCCAATATAATTTTTAGGTCTTTCTGATAGTCATTATATAACTCAAGCCATGCAAATGAATTTCAATACTATACTGAGCAAATTATGATCACACTGGAATATCTGCTGGAGAATTATAAGTGCCATGTATTCAAAACAAATGAAATAATTTGGGGCACTATCTATATTACCGCCTTCCTCTGTAGTATGTTAAGTAAGAATTGGCTGTACCTATAAATTTCTGATAAATATGAGTATCAAGAATAGTTGTAGTAAATAATGTAAATAAACGTTATTGATGGTAGATAAGAAAGTTCCTGAACGTGTAAGATTTGTCATTAATTTTCTATAACGGAAATCCTTTTCTACATTCTCCAAGGCCCTGAAAATTATCAGAGAGATTATTTGACTCAGTGTAGCCAAATGAAACTCCATTTCCCTTATTCCCTCTTCCTCCCCCCAAACAATGACTAAGTTGCCAAATGAAGGGTCCCTATTATGTTGGGAAATGGAAGTGGAAGAAGACAGTGTCGTGGAGAGAAGTTCAGGCAAAAGGGTAGAAAGAGGAACGTATATTTGGTGCTAATGCGAGTGCCTGTGAAAACGCCACTTTCTATGTTTCTCCAACTGTATTTGGCATGAGAAAGAGGGTCATGAAATTTGGTAGCCAGTTAGACTTACAGTTTTTCCCTGACTGGAAACCTTGTCAAGAGGTAACCATCACCTCATGAGTGGAAAGTTCTCTGAGTGGGTTGTGTTTGTTCTAAGGTGACTCCATTTCTCATTGCAGAAAAACGCCTGTCTAGGGGCATCTCCCACGCCAGCTCCAGCATTGTTTCCCTGGCCCGGTCCCATGTCTCCTCCAATGGTGGGGGTGGGGGGAGCAGTGAGCACCCCCTGGAAATGCCCATCTGTGCCTTCCAGCTTCCAGATCTCACTGTGTACAATGAAGACTTTCGCAGCTTCATAGAGAGAGACCTCATTGAGCAGTCCATGCTGGTTGCCTTGGAGCAGGCAGGTCAGTGAGCACTTCCTTTCCCATGCTCTTCCCTCTGCTCTCCACGTCTAGGCAGCCATGTGGAGGGGCTGGGCTTGACAAGCGGCTTCCAGTCTAAGCCTGCGATCTGATTGATTGCAGTCAAACTTGGCAGTCAGTCAGAGAGACATGTACTGAGCTAGGTGCTTCTTCAAGTTAAAGGAAGGACACAAATAAGACACTTTCCTCTGGAAATTTCCTGTTTGATTGAAGGGAAACCAGATACACATGTGAAAGGCCTACAAATCAATACCTAAAAATCAATACATGAAAAAAATACAAATGAATTATAATTGGCTCTGGAACACCTTGTGTGTTCCAATGCTGTAGATGGTTGGTTCCAAGAACCAATGCTGTACATGATGCACAGTGGTGATTAAACTAAGTCACATTTATTTATACGAACCTTTCCCAAAAGATTTATTTACCTTTACAATTATGTTTGTCTTAAATTATATTTAAAATTTATTGGTATGTTGGGGTGAGGCAGCTGGGATTTCTGGGAAAGCTAGTCAGTTATTAAAAACCTCCCATGGAAGAAGGACGGGGGGGTGGGAGGTGGGGGCACAGAAAGGAAGGTCTTGTTTTTCATTTTGTGCCCTTCTATACTAATCGTGTGCATCTATTTACAGTTTTTTAAGTAGTAAGCAGTTTATCTGACTGCTGTGATTATAGGCCAGTTTTTCTTTCAGTAGACTGTCCAGTAATTCAAAAAAACTTTTAAGCATTATTCATAAATTATTTTCCTTGTATAAGTAATGGATCAGCAATTATAGGATGACTGCAGAATTGAGAATCATTTTCTTGGGTATTTTAAGTACTTTGTCTTGTTGCTCATGTCTTTGAAGTCGTGCCACATACATGGTGGCATGCTTACTGTCATATACGCAGATGATACTTGCGTGACACTTTGAATATGCATGTTGGCTTGTTTTTCTTTTACTGATGATGGATTTGTGCTGACCTTTATTGCTACAGTGTCTGCTGGTCTCCTGACCAGAGTGAAGAAATCAGAGCCAGACCAAGTAGCCAACACAGATTTCGACCTATGACCTAGGCCTCATCATCCAACCCAGGGTTGTTCAATCTTAGCGCTACTGACACCTAAGACCAGATGATTCTTTGTTGTGTGAGCTGCCTTGTGCATTATATTGTGTTTAGCAGCCTTCCTGGCCTCTACCCACTAGATGGCAGTAGCATCTCCCCACCACTTGTGACAACCAAACATATTTCCAGACGTTGCCAAATGTCCCTTTGGAGACGAAATTGTCGCTACTTAAGAACTGATCTAACCAGTTGTGCTCACCAGATTCTGATGAACCAGATATAAGTGAAGAAGATACACAGAGTAATAGAGTGATGGTTTGATTTTGGATAGGCTTCCTAGAGGAGGCAAATTTGGAGTCTGTTTTAGAAATAGGGGAGTAGGGAGAACTTTATGCACCATCTGCTCCTCTCCTTTTCCTCCTGTTTCTGTAGGGCGTTTGAACTGGTGGGTGAGTGTGGACCCCACCTGCCAGAGGCTCCTTCCTTTGGCAACTACTGGAGATGGAAACTGCCTCCTGCACGCAGCCTCTCTTGGTGAGTCTTGAAAATGGTCCTTCATTCCCTCATAGAAAGGAAGCAGTAGTTAAATCTCATGTGAAGGACTTGATCCGACTCTTCTTGATCTCAGACAGAAGTGATGGCTCAGAGCAAGGCTGTGTGTGTGTGTGTGTGTGTGTGTGTGTGTGTGTGTGCGCGTGCATGCTCACTGGTGCAGGAGGAGATGGAAGAGAGCCCTGCCCTAGTTTTTCAGTCTTGTTGAGAAATCGTATGGAGTACATAGGATTTAGCACAAGTCCCACTCTGAGAACTGGCCCCCAGAAGTAATGCGCAGCAGAAAGCAAGCAGTATACTGTATGTGTATGCATATAATTCCACTAAGTCTTTATTCTTTTGGTATATAAAAAAGATACGTTTTCATCAGTCCCCTGTGAAACTTGTTTATTATTATTTTTTAATGTATGTCTAATCTAGAATAATGTATTTTTCTTTTTCTTTCTTTTTTCTCTTCCAGTTTTATTGATATAATTATACATACTGTATAAGTTTTATACAGCATAGTGATTTGACTTACATGCATTATGAGATGATTACAATAAGTTTAGTGGACATTCATCATCTCATGGATACAAAATTAAAGAGATAGAAAAAATTCTTTTTTCCTTGTGATGAGAACTTTTAGGATTTATTCTCTTAACAACTTTCATATATAACGTATAGCAGTGTAATTATATTTATCATGCTGTACATTGTACCCCTAGTACTCAATAGTCTTGTAAATGGAACTTTGTACCTTTTAACTACCTTCATCCAATTCCCTCTGCCTTTGGTAACCACAAATCTGATCTCTTTTTCTGTGGGTTTGTTTTTGAAGTATAATTGACCTACAACAGTGTTGTACCCTGGCACACAACATGGCGAGTCAATATTTCTATATATTTCAAAATGATCACCATGTTAAGTGTAGTTACCATCTGTCACCATACAAAAATATTACATAATTATTGACTTGTTTTCTTTAAATTGTTATGCCTATTTATAATTCAATATATTATTTGCCTTAGCTTTTAAAAAAAGTCCCCATTTTCCAACCACCCCTCAAGCTTTGATGCTGATTACCATGTGCCAGACCCATCTTATCTGCTGCTACTCTGTATTTTACTTTATTTATTAAAAAAAATTTGTTTTTAATTGGCCGCACCACGAGGCTTATGGGATTTTAGTTCCCTGACCAGGGATCGAACCCAGGCCCTTGGCAGTGAGAGTGAGGAGTCCTAACCACTAGATGGCCAGGGAATTCCCACTCTGTATTTTAATTTGTTAGACTTGGTATCACGAGTAAAGGCTTCTTGTCAGGAGTCTGTAGGATGTGGTATATCCCCCACTTTCAGGTTCTCAAAGTTTCTGAACCTCCAGAATAGGAACATCTTTTCTTTCTTGATTACCTTTCCCCCAAGTCACAGCAGGGGTTTCTTTGAACCTGGGCTTCAGCCTGATTTCCTTCATGCCAGGGTCTGTGTATCATAATTAATAAGTGGAGTTGAGTCGAGGGTAGGGTGTCTTAACCATAATGTTTTCTTGCCATAGGGATGTGGGGTTTCCATGATCGAGACTTGATGCTACGGAAAGCTTTGTATGCACTAATGGAGAAGGGAGCGGAGAAGGAAGCATTAAAACGGCGCTGGAGGTGGCAGCAAACTCAGCAGAATAAAGAGGTGAGGGAGCTTGGGCAGGAGCACCTTGTTTCCCAAAGTTACCGAGGGGAAATGCTCAGTGCCTACCAGTAGGAAATGTCTCCTACTTAGGTGCTTAGGTCAGTGTTACTCCTCTTGTAATCCTGGAAATGGTTGAAAATTCAGATACCACCATAGGGTACATGCCTTCTGATAGAGTTATGAGAACTGGTGTGGGGAAGTGGAGACTTGTAGAGGAGGTATCTAACGTTGTGCATTTCTACCCGATAGGCACTCAATAAGCCTTTAGTGGCAGTCTTTTGCAAAATGAAATACGACAAGCTCATAGGATATTTGTGTTGTTTTGTGTTTTTGCATATAATAAGGCTAGACCAATTTTTAAGGACTTACGTTTTCAACCATTATAGAAGTGTAAATGCGTAAAAATAGTTTGGGCCATATATACCGTGTTTTGTATGTTCAGTTTATCTGTTAAAAAATTGTAAAAGCATGAGTTTGAATGGTACTTCTTAGAAGTTCAGCAGATGTTGAGTTGAGTTTAATTGGTACTTCTCAGGGATTTAGTAAATGTTAAGGCTGCTTTCGTATAAGAAAGCAATACTGGGAGGTTCCCTGGGGGTCCAGTGGTTAGGACTCCGGCGGTTTCACTGCCATGGCCCAGGTTCAGTCCCCACCACCACAACGCAGCCAAAAAAAAAAAAAGAAAAAAGTAACACTGGACTGTTTGTACTTTCCATCCCTATAAACGGGCTGGGCAAAATATGGCCTGTAGGGCTTCCCTGGTGGCACAGTGGTTGGAAGTCCGCCTGCTGATGCAGGGGACATGGGTTTGTGCCCCAGTCCGGGAAGATCCCACATGCCATGGAGCGGCTGGGCCTGTGAGCCATGGCCGCTGAGCCTGCGCGTCCGGAGCCTGTGCTCCGCAATGGGAGAGGCCACAACGGTGAGACGCCCGTGTACCGCAAAAAAAAAAAAAAAAAAAAATATGGCCTGTGGGTCAAATCCCACCAACTGTTTTTGTTAAAAAAAAATTTTTATTGGAACACAGCCTCCCCAACTCAATTCATTTACATGTGTTTGTGCTACAGCAGCAGAATATAGAAGCTGCACGTTGCCCCACCGCAAAGCCTAAAATATTTCCTGTCTGGCCCTTTACAGAAAAAAGTTTGCCAATTCCCTTCCCTTTAATAATGACGTTATACAGTTAAATAAAGATAATGAGTCTTCCTATTTCCTTTTGCCCTGGTTCTCTGCCTTCTATGTTTATCTCCTGCTCTTCATGTATATCTTTTTTATTCTTGCCATGTATATAAAGCTGGGTGTTTCTGGCATTAATATGGGAATATCTCTTCAGAAACTTAATTTCCAGCTTCTTTTCCTTCTCTTTTTATTGCTCTATCATAACTGGCCATAATATAGAACTAACAGACTTTTGTTTGTTTCAGTTATTAGAATTTCATGTTCTCAAGATTTAAAATATGGAAGTAGAATGTGTTATGTTTCTTTCTCAAAAATAAAGAACTCAACCTTAAAATTAGGATGATATTAAGATCAGAATCCGGTCTTTGATCAGCCAGTCTGCCCCGGAAGATTCCTGAGGGAAAGAAATGCACAGGGGCAAGGCCAAGTAAACAGCATTCTTTATTGACACCAAACCCCCTGGCAGTCTGGTGAGCTGAGCTGGACTATGTGGAGAGCTTTTTTTGCCTGAGCTAGAGCCAGCCTAGAGTTTGCCTTCCTCATTTTTGAATTCAGGCTATACCTGAACCTTAGATTTGACCACTTCAGAGACAGGAAAAGACCAAACCAGATCATGCCAGCTAGTAAAGTAGACGTGATAGCCACAGTCAGAGGATAGGTAGGCCCAATTCCAGCTATATTAAGCTGTTATAGTTACTATTTTAAAGGTGAAGTTAGATTATGATGGTATTTAGCCAGGAGACCCAGAAATACCCAAGTTCTATTCTTGGTCAGCCATCTATTCCCTCTCAAAGTCCTCAAATGGAAATACATGCCTGGAGGATAGTAGATATTGAAGGAGTGATCTTTTTACTCCTTTTGCCCAGCACATTGAAAGTTCCACATGGAAACAAGATAATTGTTTTAGCTCAGACCATTCATAGCATTATAGTGGGGTGGGGAAAGGGGTGACGGACTGGGGAGCTACTTTCAGCCAGTACCAAACACCAAACAAACTAAATTGGTTTTGATTTCCCAGGCCTCCTTGTTTTGTTGTTAAAAATGGTGGTAAAACACAGTAAGAACATTTTCAGCCTAGAAGGGTACACCACCTAGTGGCTGTGTGTATAAAAACAGCAAACAAAAATAGGTGAGAGCAAGAGGAAGACAGATCCTCATGAATGTGTATCAGGGACCATTTATCAGAGTGACCAGAGCACCCCATATATAACCTGTGCATTGTTCTTTTGTATTTTTAGTTGAAAAAATCTGTGATAGAATTTTACACATTGAAAATAGCTTTGTCTTTTTTTTATTGTTAAAGTAAAATGTGGTCACAATAGCTCTTTAATTCCTGTTAAATTTGTTCTGATACCTCTCATGTTTCCAGTGTGATTCTTTCTACTATGTCAATGTGTGTTTAAAGTATAAACTCATTTTAACACTTATACAGGCCAAATATAATTAATAATATAGACTTTCTTCCAAATCATCATATACATCCTAAAGCCAATATGGTATTTTAAGATTGTTTGTACTACTCCTTCCACTCCTTTAATAAAAAGTTAATAGTTTTACTGAGCATGTATTTACTGGTTACTGATCACATAGTAGGTACTAGGCATATTGCATAAAACATGGTCCTGGTTCTTAGGAGTAGTAGTAGGAGATGGACATGTAAATACATAATTGCAACAAAGTAACAGGTTATGACTTCTATGATAGAAGTCTACATAGCAGTTGAGGAGGGAGAGCACAAAGGAAGGAGTGAGTGGTTGATGTACCCGGGAGATGTAGGAAGGGCTTCATAGAGGAGTGATACTTGAGTTCTTTCCTGACAGTTGAGAAATTATTCACCAGGTGGATATGGAGTGGGCTGCTCCAGGCAGAAGGCACAACCTAGACAAAAGCTCAGAAGTATAAAACAACACAGTGCATTCAAGGAACTACGACTAATTAAATGGTATTAGAGAAGTGGGTTGGGAGCCAGGAAGTGGAGTCTCTGCTATGCTTAAGGAGTTTGAACCGTATCTAATAGGTAATGACAGGTCTTAATTTGTAGCAGGAAGCAAACATCATCATATTTTAATTTTAGAAAAATCTTTCTGGTAGCATTGTAGAAAACGGATCGTAAGAATGTATGACTGGAAGTAGTAAAACCAATTAAGGGTCCATTGCCGTAGTTCATGCTTAGTAACTGTTGACTAAAGGGTTAGTAAATCCTTTCACCCATCCCAGGTATGGGTTGGGTGAAAGGAGAGGAGTCGTAGATAACCCCCTGGTTTCTAGTTGGGTGTTTGGGTGATAGTGTTGTTTACAAAGGTAGGAAAACAGGAAGAGAGGATTTTTGAAGAGGTAGAAGTTCAGTTTTGACTGCACAGAGTTTGAGGTAGTCATGGGCAGGTGGCAGTCTTCAGTAGGCAGCTGGATGTGAACATAGAAATTATGAGGAAATCTGGGCTGGAGAAGAAGATTTTTGAATCCTGAGCACGTAGATAGCAGTAGATGAGATTATAGTAGTAGAAAAGATAACCTAGAAAGAACCAAGGCTAAAATCATTGACACAACATCAATATTTTTGAGGTAGACAGAGTTCAGAGAGGTAAGAGAAAGTAGTGTTGTGTGAGCTAAATGAAAAGAAAGTTTGAGGAGATCAAATGCCACATGAAGGCTAAGAAAGATGAGAACTGAAGAGTTTGCTGAATTTGGCAATTAGAAGGTAATTGTCTTTGCTAGAGTCAGGTGAAGTAGTTTGTGGGGGTGAGGGAGGGGGCATAGGCTGGAGGGCAGATACAGAAGCTAGACTGCAGTGGGTCAGAAAAGAATGGAAGAAGTGTGAGTGATCATAGACATTCTTTCATGGATCCTGACTATAAAAGGGAGAAGAGATTGGACTTTGTAGTAAAAATTGTTAGCCAAGTGGTAAGAGAATAGGGAGTGGAGTAACACGAGTTGGAATGGCTATTGCCTCTTGAACCTAGCCTCTAACTGCTTGATATTCCTTGCCTGTCTTTCACACAGTCAGGGCTGGTATACACAGAGGATGAGTGGCAGAAGGAATGGAATGAGCTGATCAAGCTTGCCTCAAGTGAACCCCGCATGCATCTAGGTACCAATGGAGCCAACTGTGGTGGGTAAGTATGTCTAACTGGAGGAGCAGGAAATAATCTTTGCTGAGTCCTCAGCGTCCAAAGACACTGTCCTCTGTGCTAAGAGGATGTTAGAAGGAGAGGAAGAGAAGCCATGGCAAGGGCACAGAAGGGTGTAACAGCATGGTATGTTCTAGGAAATACAGGTAGTTCAGTATTGCCAGAATATAGAGTATGTGGCGCAGAATGGTAGATGAGGCTAGGCCGTCCAGATTTTTGTGTGCCATGCTAAGGAATTAAAATTGTATTCTATCCAGACTTTGGGAAACTGCAGGACAAATGACCTGGTTTCCTCAATAAATAAAGACAAAGAAAACAAAAAGGGAGAAAGAACCTAAGTTTAAAGACACTTTAGAGACACATCAACCAGCTGGAATGTATGGACATATGTAAGACAGTTGGGGAAATGTGAATAACGTCTACATTATTGTTAAGTTTTTAAAGTGTGGTATTGATGGTATTGTGGCCGTTTTTAAAAGGAGTCCTTTATTTTTTAGAGATTGAAACTGAAATATTCATGGATGAAATTATATGATGTCTAGGATTTGCTCCAGAATAATCTGGTGGGGTGGTGTGGGTGTGGGGGCCATCCCTAGGAAAATATATCAAGGTCTAGGTGAAACAAGATTGACCATCTGTTCATAATCGTTGAGGCTGGGTGATGGATACCTGAGAGTTTAGTATAATATTCTTTCTAGTTTTGAATATGTTTAAAATTTTAAATTTTTCTATAGTTAGAAAGTTAAAAAACTATAACCTATCCAAACTTTATTGGGCGTAAGAATAATCTGGGAGGATTGTTTAAAATGCAGATTTTTGGACTTCCACCCTAAGGAAGTCCAGTTGAGTTGGACTGAGGTGAGGCCCAGAAATCTGCATTTGTAGCAAGCACCCAATGTTGAATAACATTGCTTTAGGGGGCAGGAAGCCACTAAATTGTGAGTTTGTGAGTGACGGGAGCAAATTCATGTATTTGAACACACTGACAGCAGAGTGGATGATGAAACGGAGGGGAGTAGTAGTAATGGGTGTGAGCAAGAGTGATGGGTTGCAGATAGGCCAGAGGAGACAGATACAAGAGACACTTAAAAGATGGAATTGGTCAAGCCAGGTGATTAATTGAAGATGAAATATAAAGAACAGTAAATATTTCACAGATTTCTGATTAGGCTACTAAGCAGATGGGTGAGGCTGTTCTTCAAGTAAGTGAACATAGAAGGAGGGATTTTTGTTTCTTTCCTGTTGTGTTTTGTTTTGTCCTTTTTTGATAGGACATGGTGAGTGTGATGTGTGGGTGGTTGTGGTGCGTAAAGTGATAAGCAGGATGAAGCTACACAGCTGTACACTGAGCTACTGGACAAAGAATTGGGGAAGGTTGTTGAACAAGATGGGTATTAAGAGAGGGATTACGTGCCGATTCCTAACACTACTTTAACTCTTGAACCTTCATATTTCTTTTCTTGTATTTCCCCATCTGTGAAACGGAAGTAGAAACAGCCATGGTAGCATAAAATAATCAGCTGTGTGTGTGGCAGCCTTAAGACTGGAAAACAAGGAAGGGACATTGTTTTTTCCTCTTTGCAGAGCTGGTCTTCATGGGTCTCTTGTTTTGTTTTCTTCCCTCTCCCTGCCACTGCACCCCTTCCACTCTCTTGCCTCCTGCAACTCTAGGGTGGAGAGTTCAGAAGAGCCCGTGTATGAGAGCCTAGAAGAATTCCATGTTTTCGTCCTTGCCCACGTGCTTAGGAGGCCCATAGTTGTTGTGGCAGACACCATGCTGAGGGACTCTGGCGGGGAAGGTGAGTCAGTCAGTCCTCACTCTACCCTGAGCAGCCCTATTTGCAGAGCCTTGGGCTAAGCACTGGAAGGAGGGCAGGAAAGGGGTTATATAGACCCTTGGGAAAAAAACAAGGTATAAATTAGAACAAGGCAAAATTCTCATGAGATTCAGAGTAAAGCAGCTGAGGTTAATTGATGTGGCTTCTTAGGAAAGAATTATTAAACATGGGTTGGAATGAGAGGGGGGGCTCAATTGGCAGAGTGGGGTGGAGGGATTTCCCACTAGGCAAGAATATAGCCTTAATAATAATCTCCGTGGTTTCCTGCAGCATTTGCCCCTATTCCCTTTGGGGGAATCTATCTGCCCTTGGAGGTTCCAGCCAGCCAGTGTCACCGCTCCCCTCTGGTGCTCGCCTACGATCAGGCCCACTTTTCTGCACTTGTGTCCATGGAACAGAAGGAGAATGCCAAGGAACAAGGTGCGGAATGCAATGTCTGTGTCTCTGGTGTCTTTTGGTCCGCTTTATTTTCACTTTGAAAAACTGAAATGAGAGAGAATGTAGGAGGAAAGAATTAAGCGACATGCAAGCTCAGACAGTACATGTTGATACTGTTTTACTAAGCTATAAGATATACAGAGGTTTTAAAATTAAAAAAAGAAAAAAGGTTTGGAGAAAAACACAGCCTGTATTCCCTGCTCTGGAGTAAAGAGCTAATACAGTAAGGTCATAGTACCTTCCAAATGATGCTTTGCTATATTCGTCTTGATAATGACTTTGAATTCCCTGAATCTCCATTAACTGGCAAGAACATCATAGGTGCTAGATGACTGGTGGGAAGTCATGGAGATTAGTGGCCTAAATTGTGTGCTGGGTTACAAGGGAAAACCTGCCTGTTAAGTTTTTAAATGCTAAGGTAATTCACATGTTACGAACTGAGAAGTGACTGCAGTTAGAGACCTTTGGTATGGTTCAGCCTTCTTTTCACTGAAGTCAGTCTGTGTTCAGTTGCCTTCCTCTCTCCTCAAAGAGACTCCTTGATCATGTTTCTTTCCTTCCCAGCTGTGATCCCACTTACAGATTCAGAGCATAAGCTGCTGCCCTTGCACTTTGCTGTGGACCCTGGAAAGGGCTGGGAGTGGGGCAAAGATGACAATGACAATGTCCGATTGGCCAGGTGAGGCAAGCCTAGCCTTTCTATCCGCTTTGTAGCTGCGATCTCTTCCACATATGATGTCCGATGTCCATCTCCCGGGGACTTTCCCTCAGCTCAGAGGCAAAGACAGTCGCATCCTAGTTCCAGTGTCTTTGGGAAGATGGAGAGGAGGGAGACAGATTGGGCACCAGGACTCTTGCAGCTGCCTTTTCTCCCTGTGAAAGACAAGGGAATCCTGGGATCTCCTTACAGTATGAGGAGTGTTCTTGCAGAATCCCCAAAACAGTGATCAGAAAATCAAGATAATCAAATCACACTTCTCCCAGCCCAAATGAGAAGGGTTTTAAATAGCTGACCAAAACAGTTTGGTCTGGGCTTTTGCCTTTCTGGAACTTAAACAGCAAGAAAAATATGTTCTCCGCCCCCCTGCCACCTCTCAGAAGTTGGCTTCCTCCTGCCTCCAAACTTCCCATAAGAGCTTATGAATGTAAAAGCTCCTCTCTTACCTCTTAGCCAGTGCCGCCTTCTTCGGGCTCCTAAAACTGAACCCAACTGAGACGGTTTGATTAAAAAACCCAGCGTTTATGGCTTTTTAAATAGTTCTCACCTAATTATGAAAAGCTCCTTCTGAGTAATACTTACAGCAACAACAATAATAATGGCTGCCATTTAGGAAGTATTTCCTAGTTTCCAGACACTGTGCTGGGCCCTTTTCAAATACTATTTTAATCTTCACAGCAACCTTGCAGGATAGATATTATTATCTATACCCATTATCAACCCCTCCCTGAGTTTCAGGGAGGTTGAAGTGACTTGCTCAAGGTCATAAAGCTTAGTAATTGGTGGAGCCCTAATTCAAACTCAACCCTGTCTGAGTTGCCAGCCATGTAGCCCTCTCCCACCCTACCTCCCAAATGGATCACACTGCTTTGCTTTTTAAAGGTCACAGTATTTTGAAATTCTTTTTTTCTCCTTTTCACAGTGTAATCCTGTCCCTAGAGGTCAAATTGCATCTGCTGCATGGCTACATGAATGTGAAGTGGATCCCAGTGTCCTCGGATGCACAGGTGAGGACTTCTCCCACCCCACCCTTGCATGTCCTCATTTTCATGTCAGGGAGAACAAGGAAATCTGGTGGTGGCTCCTTCTGAGTCTCTTCTGAGTAGTGGCTTATGATTCAAGGTTAGGAATAACTAGAAAATATCAGATAAATTCCAAACGACACTTTTTCTTGCCTTTCTACGTGTTAGTGCCCTTTGTTTTCTATATCTTCTTACCGGCCAGGCTCTTCTTTCTGATACTAAAACACATTCTTCAAGAAAAGTTTTCTGAACTTTTTGGTGAGCTTGAGATTGTTATTACTTTGTTCTAAGCCCTCTGTACATAGACCTCTGTGTTGGGCACCAGAGGAGACAGAATAGCTTAAAGGGCTCCTGATACAGTAGGTTCTGAGGATGTCATTATTATCCATAGAACAGGAACACAGGAGCAAGGGCCAACTGATGGACTCCAGTGCTGAATGTCTAGAACTTGAGGGGATGCAGAATGGTTAAGGCTTGGGGTGGTTATTCAAGACTTCTTTGAGATTAATTTTGAGCAGAATTTGGCATAGAGAAATTTATAATAAAGGCCATTCTAGTGTCTATAGAATATTCTCCCTCCTCACCCAGAGGCCATATATTTGTATAGTTGCTCATTGTTCTAGAAGAGCAAAATCCAGGCTTCATTTTGGTATCTCCTTATTACAGAAGGGCATCAAATTGCAGGGGGTGAGATAAAAGTTAGATATTAGATACCTCTTTCCCTGGTTCATGGGAGAGCTGATGAGCTGGGGAAGGACAGTGCCCTCCTGGGTGACCCTTCCCCTGTCATGACAGCAACCCTTCTCTGGAACTAGGCAGTCACTCCAAGGAAGGAGTTCATAGGGATGTTACCACCCCTCTTCCACATGGCTAATTCCTATAGCAACAGCTGCAGGGAGCCCCGTGAGCCAGATGGATGGGCTGGAGGTTCCTGGGGGCTTCCCTCAACCCAGACCAATGGGATAACTGTCGCATTCTTTTTTTTTTTTTTAATTAAAAAAAAATTTTTTTATTGAAGTATAGTTGATTTACAATGTGGTGCCAATCTCTGCTCTACAGCAGAGTGACTCAGTTATCCACATATACACATTCTTTTTTAATATTCTTTTCCATTATGGTTTATCACAGGATATTGAATATAGTTCTCTGTGCTATACAGTAGGACCTTGTTGTTTATCCATCCTATATCTGTCAGCCACTTTCTTGTCTCTTCCAGGCTCCCCTGGCCCAGCCTGAGTCCCCGACAGCCTCAGCTGGAGATGAGCCCCGGTCCACTCCTGAGTCTGGGGAATCAGACAAGGAGTCAGTTGGCAGCAGTTCTGCCAGCAATGAGGGCAGCAAGCGGAAAGAGAAGTCAAAACGAGACCGGGAAAAGGACAAGAAAAGAGCAGATTCTGTGGCTAACAAACTGGGCAGCTTTGGCAAAACCTTGGGCAGCAAGCTCAAGAAGAACATGGGAGGCCTGATGCACAGCAAGGGTTCTAAGCCTGGAGGGATGGGAACAGGGTCGGGGGTAAGCAGTGGCACTGAGACACTGGAGAAGAAGAAGAAAAACTCACTGAAGAGTTGGAAGGGTGGCAAAGAGGAGGCAGCTGGGGATGGGCCTGTAACTGAGAAGCCCACATCTGAGTCTGTTGGTAATGGAGGGAGCAAGTATAGCCAGGAGGTGATGCAAAGCCTGAGCATTTTGAGGATTGCAATGCAAGGGGAGGGGAAGTTTATTTTTGTTGGAACCCTGAAGATGGGTCACCGTCACCAATATCAGGAGGAGATGATCCAACGCTACCTTTCTGATGCTGAGGAGAGATTCCTGGCAGAGCAGAAGCAGAAGGAGGCAGAGAGGAAGATCATGAATGGAGGGGTAGGGAGTGGGCCTCCTCCAGCCAAAAAGCCAGAGCCAGATGGCGGGGAGGAGCTGCTGACTGCCCCTCCAGCAGAGTCCAAGGCGGTGGCATTGTCTACTGGCTACCCTGGTGGCTTTACTATCCCTCGACCTTCTGGGGGTGGAGTCCACTGCCAGGAGCCCCGGAGGCAGATGGCAGGGGGGCCATGTGGGGGGGGCCTGCCACCATATGCCACCTTCCCCAGACAGTGCCCTCCTGGGCGACCCTACCCCCATCAGGACAGCATCCCTTCTCTGGAGCCAGGCAGTCACTCCAAGGATGGAGTTCACAGGGGTGCATTGTTACCACCCCACTTCCGCGTGGCTGATTCCTATAGCAACGGCTACAGAGAGCCCCCTGAGCCAGATGGATGGGCTGGAGGTCCCCGGGGGCTTCCCCCAACCCAGACCAAATGCAAACAACCGAACTGCAGCTTCTATGGACACCCTGAGACAAACAACTTCTGCTCCTGCTGTTACAGGGAAGAACTGAGGAGAAGGGAACGTGAATCGGGTGGGGAGCTGCTGGTGCACAGGTTCTGAATGGGGAAACCCTGGAGGGCAAGGGGGCTAAACAAAGAAAGTTAAGCTCAATTAATTGGCTCATAAGACCCAGCCTCCATGTTGATGGGGCAAATGCAGTAATGTTTGTGTGAACCTGGCCAGAAACTTTTAAGTGTGTATGCTCTGGAGAACTGCCAGGCTGGCAAGAGCAGGTCAGGGCTGGATGGTGGTGCCTCAAGGGCTCTACTGGTCCTTTGCCCATCTTGACTTAATGGTACTGAGGAGGTACAAGCGGGGAAAGATGGTAATTCTGTGTCATAATCCCTTGGGTCCATCCCAGGACCTAAGGGAAAGTGTAAGGGAAGATTTGATGTGAGGGGGTGGGGAGGTGGGCAGAAGTCTGGGGGAGGAACTGGCAAAGGAGGTTCTCAGTCAATAAAAGAAAAAAACAGACCAAAGTTCTTTTAGGTTGGAAAAAAGCACATGGTGGTGGAGTTGGGAGTGTGGAGGGAAACTGGGAAATTAGTCAAATTTTCTATTGAGTTGAATTAAGGTAGAAATTTAGTGTTGGATAAATTTTTCCTCTTGAAGGATCTGGAAAGACAAGGCAGTAACGTGTGCTTATGGATGCTTATTAGGAGGGGGCTGGCTTAAATCAGTTTAGTGAGATGGGAAAGGGAGAAACTTAAAAGGGGAATCTTCTTCCTCTTGAGTTTGATTTCCTTCTAAACAGCTATCTGTCATCCCTTCTAGTTCGAGAGGAGATTGCCAATTGCCCCCTATCTTTTTCTCATCCTTTTTGAGGGCTGAGCTAAGAAGGTTGTGATTTTTTTTTAAGACTTTAATTTTATTAAAAAACAACAACAACAAAAGTTCCCTCTGGGGAAGGCAAGAGAATGATGAGAAGAGCAGCTGTGTGTGTTGAATTTTCTCCAGGTGAATTGGTACAGAGGTGATCTTTTTTTAACTACTAGCAATAACCACATATTGGGGTTTGAGTGCGCCTTGGGAGGGGGGTGGGAGGAGGACAGACTTTTGGCCAGACTGTTTCAAACAAAACCAAAAACCTAAATAGAGCACTACCATCCTCTGCTGCTGTGTTTCTGTAGAAAGCAACTTATTTTTTGGAATTTTTTTTTTTTAAAGAAAAGAAACAAAAAGACCCCAGCAAGCAAAAACATTTTAAAAAATATTTTTTTTTCCTCCTATTTAAGTGATTCTTTCTCCTTCCTCTCTACTTTTGGAGAATGAACTTAACGTCCCGGCTTCTTTTGTTAAGCCATAGCTGACCTTAATCTGTGGTTAGTTTATTAAAATAATAAAAATACTTTGTAAGAAGAGATATTTTTGATAATAGGACTGATGTTGAAACTTGGGGTAGGGGTTAGGGGCAATTTATAAAAAGGTAGAGAAATATATTTTAGTGAACTATAACCACAGATCACAGATTACTCCCAATGAGCTGATCTGTCTTTGGGTTTCCCCCTCCCCCCCCGCCGCCCCCCCCATCCTTTTCCCCAGAGGGCGGGAGTGGGTCTGTGGACACAGTAGCGGGGAGCTCCTTTGCATTTTGCACAAAGCACAAGTCTGGACAGCCTATGCTCTGGCCAGCACCATTTCTAAGAGCTTTAAACTGGAGGACCTATCCTGGGCCAATTTTCCCTTTTCTTTAAATTTTTTTTTTCTGGGGGGAAAAAAACTCAACTATGCAATTGTATACACTCCTGGGTGCATATGAGGAAGGGGAATAAGTGTACTTAAGTGTCCAGAGTGTTAATTGGGGCTATTTTTCTGTATTTGGATTTCTCTTTTGAGGTATGTACTCATAAACCATCCTGTGGAATGTAATCCCCACATTTGATCCAAGGCAGACATGGGCTGGATGTGTGTGTTAGGGGGACTCGTGTTTGCCCTGTGTTGCTTCTGCCCAATCAGGAAAGTTGTCATCCCATCTCCCCCTTGGTAACAAAGCCAGCCAAGACTGTCCTATTCATTGGAACTGCTCACAATTTAGAAAGTTTCCTTTCTCCTCAACAAACTTGAAAAGTCACTTATTTTCTAAATCTGATTGTTGATTTAATAATTTCCATGGCTGTTAATTCTTACGCTTTTATTTGAAAACAAACCTGGTGTTAAGGAAGCAATGAGATGAGGTCAAAGGAGATAGGTTCCAAAGGAGGGTGGAGGGTATGTATATATTTCTGGGCAGGACTGGGACTAGTGTGAGACAAGCACGCCCCTCAGGTTCAAAACTTAAGGAGATACCAAAAACTTAGTAATCAAGATAAATACTGTTTTAATGCAGTATTTTTAAAAATTAATGCAAAAAATCCATGATAAGCAAAATATCAGAATCTTAAAAAAGACAGAATCCAACAGGACTGGGGTTAGAGTGAGGGTAGGAACGCTGAATTGAGCAAGTACGGGTTGAGTCCTGTCTTTATTTAAAATTTTGATACTTTAGTCATTGTGGATTTTTTTACATTAGTTTTGATTTTCAAAATATACTGTGTTAAAATAGTATCTTGGTTACTGGGTTTTGGGGCACCCCTTAAATTTTGTGCCCAAAGTGAGTGCCTTGCTCACCTTACCCTGTTTCCGGGGTTAGAACAACATTGGTGAGACCACCACCTTATGAACTTCGTCCCCTAACATGCACCCAAACAACAGGTGGCTCAAACCCACACCAAGAATTTGCATAGCTCACCTAGCTTTCCCATAGGCATCCATCTATATCATAGGATTTTGGCCTGGACCAATAGAAATGGAAACAGACCAGGGACTTTCCCAGAGAATAAAACCAGGAAAGTTGATTCTCCACTGGACTGCTGTGTTTGGATTTGACCTGTTATTAGATTCTAGTTAATACTTTTGTTTTTAAAAACTGAGGACAAATGAACAAAAACGGAAACCTTGTGTCATGTTTGCTTTTGTTCTGATTTATAAATGAATCAATCGCAATTGCTTTTGACTTCTTTTCAAATAAAAAAGGTGGAAATTCTGGTGGGTGGCCTAGGGGTGAATATGGTAAAATAGGGCTTTATTTAGGCCCTCTAGCTTTTTCATTAAGAAATACATTTCTTTTTTTAATTTGGGAAGGTAACTATTTATTGACACATTAAAAAAAAAAACACCCTCTCTATTCTAAAGATGAGGGACCCTGAGTCAATGGATGTTTTTCCATAGGGATGAGTAAAGTTTGTTTTGCTTCATCCTTTGAGAGGGCTGTGGAATGGGAGGGTGGTGAAAAAATAATGCCTGCAAAATGAAGACAGACTGGTTGGTTTATGGTATTTGGGGAGGATGAGGGGGTGGAAGAGGCAAGCTCATGCAATTACTGTGTTGGGGAAAAGGGAGGAGAAGGGTACATGATGTGCACTCAAAATGAGCCAAATTCCTTAGTTAAGGAGGGTGTGGGTGAAGGGGGGAGGCAGACCCCTCAACCCTGGATGAGGGATGATATCTCTCAGGCTTAAATAAGTGCACCTAGTTCCTTTAATCCAGGCACTGGGGTACCTACTGAGGTTTTTATTGGAGAGGGAAGATTTTTCAGGGCTCTTATTTTTCCCCTTTTGATTTAAGACAGTGCTACCCCTCCACCCTACGTTCTCCATCTCAGCCCTGATGGAGCAAGTATACTATAGGAGAGGCCTCCAAATTCCTCCCTTAATCTATGCTGGTTTTATTGAGAGTTACAAGATTTAACCAAACGTTTTTCCCTCACACTGGATTCTAAAACAAAAGTAAAAGATTATATTAAAAGTTTGTTTTTTTTTTTTTTTAAGATTCAGTCTCTTATGGAGTGCGGATGGTGTTTAACTCAGTGCTGTACAGGGCCTGGAGGGAAGTTCCTTCCCTCTCCTGTTGGCTGTTTCTTCTCAAGTGAAACTAAAGCTCACAGACCAACACAACAGAAATTAGCAATGACTTTTTGTTGTATATTTGAGAATGATACTGAGCTGGAAAGAATGGAGCTGTTTCTGAATGAATTCTGAGAACCTAGCTTTTGCTATTCTGACTACTTTCTAAACAGCCACATGTCCAAGGTTCCAGTCACATTTTGTCTTTCCCAATAAAGGAGGTTCAAAGATAATTGTCCCCAGTTACTCGGACACCTCTGGACTCTGTGTTCTCTTCTTTCTCTAAGGAGTCAGTGCCCCAGACACACAACCACAGGTGAGAAGACAGAATCAGAAGCCCCTTCTCGGCCTGGAATCACCTGCACCCCAGATTTTTCTAATTTCCTTTTCCCTCCAGGCCCTTCAACAACAGATTCAGTGACTCATGTAGGCAGTCTGTCTCTTTCACTTTGTAGATACCTGGTCTGCAAATTACAGGCTGTTTTGCCCCCTGAACTTAAGATGACTAGCAAAATATCATGACATCCCCCATGGAGACTATCTCCATGCCACCTCCCTTCACTGGCCACTTGGGTAAGGGGCAGTAGAAAAGAGAAAGGGAAGCTGGCTGACAGTGGCGCAGAGAGGAGTGGGGGTGGGGAGGACCTTGGCCTCTTTACTGTGCTTATAACTGGATCTGTGACTCATCTTGTGAGTCACTCAGCTCCACCTCCTTCCTCTAGCTGCCCCTCCCAGCAGCCTTCACTCCTGGCACAAACCTGCAACCAGACTAGGATTCTGAAGATGGAAAAATCTGATACGGCCCCTTGCCTCTTCACCCTTCCTTTCATCCACTAAACCTCTACTGGGTGTGTGTAGAATGGACAGAGGGGGTCCTCCTGTTACTTAACCCTCGGCTGCTGCCCCCTTTGCATTCCTGGTGAGGTGCTGATCCAAGTCACCCATCTTTTTTCTGCCTGTGACCTTCCACCATTCCCCTGATGTTTTTTCTCTGTATTCCTCTGCTGCTCCTACACCTCAAGTATTAAAGAATAGAATGAGGCTCTTGAATGAAGGGTGGTGGGGAGAAGGAAAGTGGATCATGGATTTTTAAACTGTGGTACACAGCTCTTCCTATTGCCACAGACCTTGGGAAATATTTTCTTCCCCCCAAGAGACTGAGGCTGATGGAATGCAGGTGGGGGTGGCGGGGCTTGGTAGCTTTTAAGACTTCTAGAATCAGGCTTCTGGGCTACCTTCCTAGCAGGTGTATGCCTCTCTGTTCCAGACTGACTCCCTGCCTCAGAATATCTTCACTATTTCCACAGTTGCAGCCAAGACAGGGAACTTTTAAAGCTGAGGCCGGAAGGGTGTGTGTGCTGGTGGGGGGAAGAGAGAGTTGTCACTGGAAAACTGGGGCCCCCACCTAAGAATTGCTGCCTCTGTACAAACTCAAAATCAATAAAACAGCAGCTCGTGAATTCATTACTTTGTATTTTATTTTCTGTCTTTTTCATACCTAAAGTTAGAGTTTTGCATTCCTACCCCCAGTCACCGTTGCCTATAGTTCCTTTACTTCCCTCCTAGTGCCCTCCCCACCCATCTTTGCTTCTTGGGTTGCAAGGGGGAGGGTGGGGGGATGGGACTGTTGCACTTAACAGAGGTTTCCAACCCTCAGCCTTCAAAGTCCTTAACATGAATCATTAACTTGGAGATCTGATGTCTGGGCTGGAGGGAGGGCTCCTGTACCTGGAATGGGCCCTAGTTTCCAGCTGGTTGTGTGTGTGTGTGTGTGTGTGTGTGTGTGTTGGATTAAGTGGATCTTTTCCTTGAGCCTCCCACCCCCACCACCAGAACTTGCATGTAAACATACCTGTACCTGTGTCTGTATCCTGCAGATGTTTCAATTTCTCTCCCTACTTTTCCACTGGACCCTTCACATGAGATATGTTTCATGCTCTCTGGAGAAGGATACACAAAAACACTTTAACTCACCCCCCTCCCTAATTCCCTCCCCAGGCAAAAATACCCTGAGGGCCAATTTCCATTAATAAATTTCTTCTCAACCACTTCTGTTAGGTCTGTAAGGGGAGGCAGCAAGGAAGTCTGCACTACTTTAACATTCCCCCCACCCCCACCCCCTTTAAGAAGACAAAAAAACAAAAACAGCTTCCCAGGGAAGCCATCAGTGAGAGTCCAGGGAAGTGGCCCAATGATTCCAGTTTAATACTTGGCACTACTGCTCCCCTCAAACAGTCTCCAATGCTCATGAACAGAAAGACAATAGGATCTGGGTTTGGGGTAAAGCGGGGAATCTGGGTATTTTCTCACTCCCCCATTTTTTCCTCACCTTTCTTAGCCTCCTCCACTTCCTCTCCACTTTTCCAAAATTGTGTGTATTCTCCTTTAAGGGGCTGGGCATCTCTCCCGCCCTCTCCAGAGTCGACTGAAGTTTCCGAGGAGCCTTCTCTAGCTGGGCTGGACACACCTTTCAAAAGACCCCAAAGCGTGCTCCTTGCACCTCAAATGCTCCTTTCCCTTGAATCTTCCTCCTGCCCCTCTCCCTGACTTCCCTCCTCCCATCTACAAGATTCAGCCTCTCCCCAAGGGGCTTGAGCATCCTCGAGGTTTCCCACCCTTGACCGCTCCATCCCCGGATGGAGCCAGAGAAATGTGGTGGGGGGGCCGGGGCCAGAGTTTCAACGTCACCCCCCAGAAGGAGGAGCCAGAGATGGGGGTAAGGAGAGGAAACGGGCTTGCGCGAGGGGGGCACTGGCAAGAGGGTGTGAATGGGGATCGTGTGGAGAAAGAGGGAAGAAAAGGATCTAGAGGAGGAGACCTCCTCAGTTGATGGAGCTTGGTCTTTTTTGCAGTTTCAAGTTCATTGTCTCATTATCCATTAACCAGCCCCTCCCTTAACTACCTGCCAACCCCCCCCCCCCACCCCGTGCTGAGCTCCCCACAGCCACTGATCTCAGTTTATCCTGAGTGTCTGACTGTAGGCCTCCAGAGGTGGTTGCTGAAGTAACCCCAGACCCCAGGATTGGAGAGGCCTAGGGATTAACCCTACACCCTTCGCAGCTCTCTGGACCAAAGTCTGTCCAGGGGAGTGGGATGCCAGAGCCCAGGAGTCATCAGCTTGGCAGCTGCCTGGCCTCTGGATGCCTCCCAGGTAATAATGCCCTTCCAATACTTCTGATCTCCAAAGACTCCTCCAAATTTCATGCTCCTCAGACCTTGTTTCAAACCTCACCAAAGGTACCTCTGTACTCCTCTCCTGGCTCAAAGTGCTTCTGCCTGAGGTTTGCTCTCTTCTCTGGGCAGGGCTGGCTGGGAGCTTGGACCTTGATGGTCCCTCTGTTTTCTTGACCCTGTTACTCCTCTTCTCATTTACTTATTCAATAAATATTTGAGTGCCTACTATGTCCCAGGCACTTTCTAGGCTCTAGAGTAAAAGAATATAAATTCTCTCCTCCTAAGCTTTCATTCTAGTGGGGTTAGGGGAGGATCTTAATCTTTCCTCTTTAGATCCTCCTGTCTGAGAGGAGTGGGTGTATACAAGTGTGGGCAGTACTGGGAACAGTCATAACCTGGCTTCCCTTCTTGCCCTGCAGGGGAGCAGATCCTAGCATGGGCCCCAGGGGTGAGGAAAGGGTTGGAACCTGAACTGCCTGGAACCCTGATCTGCAGCAACCTGAGGGTCACCTTCCAGCCCTGTGGATGGCAGCGGAGTGAGGTGAGAAGGTTAGGGCAGTGCAAAGGACAACTAGTGGGAAGTGGGTAGGGGAGTCTAGAAGATGTAGACAAACATTACAGGAAGTGAGAAAGTGAGAGTTATGCTTAAGGGCTGTCTTCTGAGAGTATCAGGGATTGTCCATGGGGACCATCTCTAGGGAGGTTAGGGCTGCCAAGGTAGGACAAAGAATGAGACTTCAGATGTCTTTAGCATCAGTTCATGTGCTTCCTCTAGGAGACTCCCCTGAGCAGTGAGTATGATTTTTCCCTGGCCAACATTGGGCGATTAGAGGCTGGTAAGTGTGGGAGCTTGGTGAAGGGGCTCACTGGGAGTATCGGAACCCCTCCTCATCCTTCCTTTATTTTCAGAGGACAGCCTGAGTGGATGGAGTGGGATGGGCTGGAAGAGTTCCTCCTAGAGGGACCCTGATCCATGGCTGTACCGCTCTCTAGCTCTTTTTTTTTTTTTTAACATCTTTATTGGAGTATAATTGCTTTACAATGGTGTGTTAGTTTCTGCTTTATAACAAAGTGAATCAGTTATACATATACATATGTTCCCATATCTCTTCCCTCTTGCCTCTCCCTCCCTCCCACACTCCCTATCCCACCCCTCTAGGTGGTCACAAACCACCGAGTTGATCTCCCTGTGCTATGAGGCTGCTTCCCACTAGCTATCTATTTTACGTTTGGTAGTGTATATATGTCCATGCCACTCTCACTTTGTCACAGCTTACCCTTCCCCCTCCCCATATCCTCAAGTCCATTCTCTAGTAGGTCTGTGTCTTTATTCCCATCTTACCCCTAGGTTCCTTTTTTTTTTCTTAGATTCCATATATATATATGTGTTAGCATATGGTATTTGTTTTTCTCTTTCTGACTTACTTCACTCCACTCTCTCTTGACTTCAGTGAATGGCCTGTCCCGAGTCCAGCTCCTCCGTCCAGGGTCCCTGCTTAAATTTATCCCTGAGGAGATTCTGATTCATGGCCAAGACTTCCGGCTACTCAGAGTTGGTTTTGAGGCTGGAGGACTAGAGCCACAGGCCTTTCAGGTAAGAGGCCTCCAGCCCAAGGACTCCTCTTCCCCTTAGAACCTTGGCATCCTTTCCCTGGAAATTCCCAAGAGTCCCCTGTCTCCCAAGATCCCTCTCATCATTCTCTCTGCTTCTCTTCTCAAGGAGTGACTAAAATGATAGTATAATGAGAGTAAAGGCCTGAATTCTAGCCCAGCTCTGCCAATTATCAGGAGTGTAACTGCGGACAAGTTTCTTCCTTTGAAAAACAGGGAGGGTTGCATAAGATTATCCCCAAGATTCCTCCCAGAATTACCATTCTGTCATTCTCTGGTCCTAAATGTGTTCCCCTGACTCCAGTCCCCATGACCTGTGGAAGCTCCCTTCGTTAGGGATTGTCTTCGCTTTTCTTCTCTATTGGCAGCAAAGACAGTGGAGCAACACATGAGCCCTATTTCCTTCTTTTCACTTCAGTCTGAGACAAAGGATGGGATGTCCTTTCTTCTACAGGTGACCATGGCCATTGTCCAAGCCAGAGCTCAGAACAGTCAAGCCCAACAGTATGCAGGGATAACCCTGAGCAAGGCTGGTGAGTGTGGGGGCTTTAGGATAAGGAAAGGGTAGAGAGTCTGAAAAAGCAGAAGCTGGCTGAAGGCAAAAGAGCTGAGCTGGCTCTGGTTCCTCTTCCTCCTCCTCTGTGCCTCCCTCCTGCCCTAGGCCAGAGTTCTGGTTCCAGAAAACCACCTATTCCCCTCTTGGAGACATCAGAAGACTGGGAGATTGAGCGGAAAAAGCAGAGGGCCAGGGGCTGGAGGGTCAGCACTGTCAACGAGAGGTTCGACGTAGCCACCAGGTGATCCCCCAGTCCACCCAACCCCTGCTGCCCCCTCAATCTTCCCACACTTCTCTGATCCTCTAAAACTAGGACTTCCCACAAACTCCAGCCTCCTAGGACATCCGCAAAGCTATCCCCTTTAACTCCTAGATCTCTAAACTTGAGATCCCTTGGAATGATCCCCTCCTAAGCAGCTTCCTTGTAATAACAGGTTCGCATTATAATGAGGTCACTGAGCCAAGCTGTGACATAACTCTCAATTTCACAGCCTCCCCCGTTACTTCTGGGTCCCTAACCGAACTCTGGACAGTGAGGTCAGGAGAGCATTTGGCCACTTCCATCAGAGCCGTGGACCGGTCAGTGTGAGGGTGAGGGTAACGGTTGGGAATTAGAGGGTCATGGGCGGTTACGGGTCATTGTGGAGGGAGGGGATCCCTGTGAGGTCAGTGTGGGGGCAAGGGTAGGGTGGGGCTAGGAGTTTCTCCCTCAATGATCCTTCTCTCATCCACGTGAAGCGCCTGTCCTGGCATCACCCTGGGGGTAGTGATCTTCTCCGCTGTGGTGGCTTCTATACAGCCAGTGACCCCAACAAGGATGATATCAGGTGAGGGGAGGTTTGATGAGAAGAATCAAGCGTTAGATATTCAGGGCAGACACCTTCCCTTACTTTCTGACTCTCTCCCCTCCAGAGTAGTGGAGTCGATGCTCCAGGCTGGGCATTCAGACGTTGTCCTGGTAGACACTATGGATGAGCTCCCCAGTCTTGCAGACGTCCAACTTGCCCACCTGAGGCTGAGGGCCCTCTGCCTACCTGGTGAGATAAACTTTGACCCCTTACCCCATCTCTAGGTCTGCTGACCCTAACCTGATTTACCCTTTTGCCTGCTGTGGATGAGTACCCCTTCAACCCACTGATCCTCAGTTTTCTACTCAACTCCCATCTCCCACAGACTCACTGATTTCCTGTCTTTTTGACCCCAAGATATTCTTTTTTTAAAAACGGCTTCATTGAGATATAATTTATGTACCATAAAATTTACCCTTCACCCATCTTAAGTGTACAATTCAATGCATTTCATTTTATTTACAATGTTGTACAACCATCGCCACAACTTAATTGTAGAAACCTCATAGCCATTTATAGTTACTTCTCATTCCTATCCCCAGACCCAACCACTACCCAACTTATTATTAACCCTTCTTAATTCTGGATCCTGAACTCCCAGTTCTCCTGATCTCTTTGCCCTTCTGACTCCTCTACTCTCTCTCAGATTCATCTGTGGCTGAGGATAAATGGCTCTCAGCTCTGGATGGAACACGATGGTTGGACTACGTCAGGTACTCCCTCTGACTCCTAAATGGTCTTCCATTAACTCTTCTCCTTGGTTCCCCAAAACGACTGTTATTTGTTTCTCCTTAGAAGGAGAGGGGGAAGGAATTGGGAGTCTGTCTCTGTTGTATCCCCTGACCCATCATTCCCTTCCTCCAGGCTTGTTATTCTCCCCTTCTCTTCCTCACCCACTCCTCCAGGTCTTGTCTTCGAAAGGCCAGTGACATCTCAGTCTTAGTGACATCCAGGGTTCGCTCTGTAGTACTTCAAGGTGAGTTTCTTGGGCCAACCCACTCCATTCCTTGCCTTTTCTCTTTACTCACCTGACTGGATTCTGCTCAGGGAGGGAGACCTATAAAGCTTCCTTGTCCCCTCCCAGTGCTAGCATCCTCTCGTTTTGCTAGGAACTACCCATCAGCTCTAACTCATCCTTCAGTGCTACTTCTCCCTCCCCACTAAGCTTGTGGTCCCTAACAGAGGGGTTCTCAGCCCTCTGTTCCTGTCCTTCCATCAGAGGATGGGGATTGGGGTTGGGGTGGGAAGGAAAATGTGGAAGCTGGT